TATAACTTCTTATAAAGCTATTATACAAGAAACAAGAATACTTTGTCAAAAGGGTGTAGAGAGGAGTTTGCGCTTGATTACCTACTCTACATAAAGTGCAAACTACTTTTCTTTGAATGATCAAAACTACGTGATAACTAATTAAACGTGATAATTGGAAATTACTATCTAAAAGAACTTGTTCATATTTAATTCTAACAACTATGATACATGTTGCTTTTATACAAATCCAAGATATAATTTCTAGGCTATACGAATTCATATTCGCTATATCACTTAAATTTTATTGGTTAAATATTCGTTCACTCGTTCATTCACTTGTTTATTTAGTTATTCGTTCGTTTGCTCATTCGCTTGTTCGCTCACTTCACATAATTTGATCTTTATCCAATAATATATGAGATATGTATAATCCAATAATAAAATATTATAACGAAAGATCATTATACAACAATATATAAATATGATTATTTTATTATAATATGATAATTTTTATTATAATATGATTATAATAATAATAACTAAAAAAGTTTGGCTATATTAGTAAATAAATCAATTAGGAATTTTCTTTCTTACTTTTTTTATTGTCAAAAATCAATAACATTCTATTTGATTGTCAAAAACCAGAATTGAAGAATATAAATAAATAATCAGTGTTGCATGTATTTTTGTATTATTAACACATTAGGTATATGCTAGTACAAGATTTGGAGTAAAAAGTAGTATATATTATTTAAGTTGTATTTTGAATCAATTTCACTATATAATCTAAAAAATAATTTTCCAAGTATATACACAAAGACTTATTATTAGTGTTTAATAATAAAAAGCAAATAAAATATGCATGTATAAGTGCTTCTAAACTGATTCCTCATTCTTTTCAATCACCACACTCGCCACATCATCCTTCCACCTCTCTTCAATAGCTGTTAATAAAATGCCAGCTTTTATCAACACTTCTTCAACAAAAGCAGTCACCAAGAAGCTTTCAAGATCGCCAAACTCCCTCAAAGAATTACTCATGACAATCGTGGCGCACGTATCTATTTTTCTTTCCCACCAGCCAATAGTTTCGACATCAACCGTAAAAGTTACTTTGCCATTAGTGACATAAATCGTTTCGTGATCGACATCGAATGGGGAAAATACATGCACCGTGACATTTTTTATTAACTGAGAGGGATCAAGAAATGGTCGCCACGTAGATTCAAGATTGATGCACGCATTCTGTAGAATCGTTTCCCAACGTTCAGTTCCGGTTAATTTTCGACCTATTATTTTTGAAGCGGGCAATGGTGGTTGTAGCTGTTTGATTTTACTAGTTAATATTGTGGATGATGATGACGATGATTTAGCACGCCTTTTATTCGAAGACGAGGTAAATGAAGCATCATTGATCTTGAACCGGGCGTCAAGTGAGCTAACGTCTGTATCCAGTAAAACTAAATCAAAGATATGCGTAGGCCCAGGGCCATGCATGTCTAACGGTTCGATAGTAGCCTTTGTAAAGATGTCAAGATCAGAAAACATTAAAAAATCTCAAGATTTAACCTGAAACTATTTAGCGCATAACTCTCCTCAAACACACCAATAAACAGTTTTGTCCGGACACAAACTTCTGATGGACACGTTCAATCAATATCTTGTGTATTTCATATTCGAGTTCTTTTGACAAAGAAAGAAAACGACATAGATCACGAGACGGAACGAATTCGAGTATGGCAATGACTAGTTCTAGTGGGTAATGTTGTAACTTTTTCACCATTTATGAGTGGAGAGTTATACAAGAAATTGAAGAAATGGGCTTCTCTGCAGCAGTGGTCGTTTATATGTGAATATGTATGGTCACACAATTATAATTACATTCCCTTATTTATCGACACAAAATTTTATTACGACATTGTTAGATCTTTTTTTAAATCCAATAATACAGAACAAAAGTTTGTGGGTGAGTAAATAAATTATTCTCTTAAAATGATCATTTTTTATCTCTGTCATATTTATCTATACGTATCAAAATTTTTTGATGTTAAAGAAATGTAAATTCAGATCCATTGTCCAGCATATTGTTTCTAAAAGAAGATTTCAATACAACTAATTTTTTCTATATCAAATAAAATAACCTGTAATATTCATGATATAACACACCCTCGTCGTCGAAAACTAGACTGTCCACCCTCCACCACCAAAAATTTTACCCCTCCCACACCTCGATCTTTTCGTTTCTCGTCTGCAGCGACCAATAGCATTGATGCGCTAACACGAACTTCACGCAACATTTCGTTTTGATAGCGAGACTCATTTTTGCAGATTAAGTGTGCACGTGCGCGAAATGCTTTATGGTGTTTTCGACCTATCAGGTCGTGTTTCCACCAACCTTCAGCATTGTCCATATTAGATAACTTGATTTTCGTGTCGTTGTTTGAGTTACTTGTATCATTGTCAGTATCATCATTATCATTGTTGTTGACAACAGTCTTTTCAAAAGGATTATTATCACAATTTACACAATCTATAATAGTATCATCAGATGCTCGAAGATTCCCTTTTGTGACATAAAACGCTCTTTCAAGAATCAAATCATTAGCGTTAAATAAATTAATTAGTCCAATCAATATAAAATTTATATATGACACTCACCTAATCAAAGGATGATCTCGATCAGTATCACTATCAAATAAATAAATTCTAGCTTCTTTCCGATCGGCAGGCAAAGTCCATATTGGTTCATTTAAAGGATTGCGAACTACACCATCACCGCGCAATTTCAGACCCCATATGGATGTGTGGTTAGGGCCGATAGTACCTTTTGGCTGTGACAAGTCAACGATGAATGTTGCAATTAGATCTTTGTTGTCTAATTTGTCGAGAGTGAGGTCGAATCCATTGTGAGCTGGGACCAAGTCTAATATGTATCTTGTAAGGAATACCTGAAAGAATGGAAAAATTACGAGAATGTAAATCAATATAATTATAATAATAATAATAGTAAGCTTAGTAATATGTACCAATAGCCGTCTATGTTTATTCCAAAAAGTTTCATTGAATCTTTTCACTATTATTTTCTTTATTTCGGTATCAAACGTTCGCGACAAAACCATGAATCTACATAGATTCCGCGTTGGAATGTACTTGAATATCTCGAGGATTAGTTCAACGGGTAATACTGGTACCGAAGGTTTCGTATAAATTTTCATTTTATTTTTGATAAAAGTAGACTAAGCACACACGCACGTCAAATTTATAAATTTATATCTTCCCCTCATCCAATAATAAAGTTTGTTGTTTTTTTCATTTGTATATTGTTGCCGAAATTTTCTTTGTACAGGGACAGATACGTGCATGTTTCCACAAGATAAAATTTCCTTTTTTGAGAAATCTAAACAAATTTAATAAACGGATTTTGTATCGTGGAAAGACAATACGTATCATTCTCGTAGGTTATCGCCATTGTCGTTATTTTTTTAATCGTCGGACTCCTTAACAGATTTTTTTGATTGGTAACAGTAAGAGTTTTTAATTTGACGTCATTGTTGATTCATTGTGCATCCTGTCGATCATTGTGCGAACAATATGTTGATCGATCATCTGAATCTGCGTGTATACGAGTTGTACCTACCTCTCTTTTGCGATGGTATGAAAAATGAAATATTTGTACGCGTATTACGTCAACTTTCGAGTCATTTACTTTTATTGTTTCCACATATGCTGCCGGTTTTCTACGCGTCCCCTTGTTGAAATATAGTTGCCTCTTTCATTATTAAATACAGCCCAAGGGCATCCCATGGTAAGAGTATCGCCGAACCCTTTTGTCGTCATTTGATGGTTCATTTGTATATAACAAAACATTATCGCTGAATTCTACAGCTAGTCGAATTAAAAAATGGCGAGACTTTTAACGGACATTTGGTCAATTGTGATAATTGGATGAATTTGACGCTGCGTGAAGTGATACAAACATCACCGGTAATGATGGTGATTGAATTAATTAAAGAATTTTTTTATTCACGTTCGAATTATTTACTGTAATTCTATATGTTTAGGAAGGTGATCGATTTTGGCGTTTACCAGAGTGCTATATTCGAGGAAACACGGTAAGTGAAGTTTATAGGCATCTTTCTTATTGAGAGATAAATTGTTTTTCATTCGAAAATAGAAACACACATGTTTGTTTATCGTTAAATTCTTTGATCTTTATCAATAGATAAAGTATCTTCGTGTTCCTGATGAGGTGAGCTATTTTTTTTTTATTTGATAGCTTTGACGTGCTCTAACTGGGAAAATCTTCTTATTTTTAGATTATTGAAATGGTCAAAGAAGATGCTATAAGACAACGACAGACTACTGGTGGTACTGGTCGTGGGCGTACGTTGCTTTTCTTATTTCTACTTTTTTCATCAATTTATAGTGTAGTGTGTTATTTTTTTGATAACATTGATTCCAATTCATCCTTTGATAAATAATCAATTAAGGTGGTACACGAGGTGGCGGCGGTGGACGAGGTTTGTCCTTTTCTTGTTTTTATTATAGAATTCCGTTCTCTTACGTAATTAAAGTATTAATTTATTTTTGCTGGAAATTTTTCGTGATAAGGAGGCAGAGGAAATGCAAATCGTGGAGGAGGTGCTGGTGGTCGAGGTAAATTTTAAAATCTCGGTTATATCATATAATTATCATAGTTTTGCATTAATTCATCACTGATCTTTATCAAGGAGGAGGATCACGCGGAGATCGACCACGCCGTGGAGGTTAAACGTAAAAAAAACTCTAGCCTGTATGTGGTTGTTTGTAGCTAATGGTAGCGAGGAGGGTGGTGGTTGTCAAGAATTGTGGAAAGATAGTAGGTGCAAGTTTATTTGTCTTTTATTAAAAAATCACTGATTGTAAAATTTTCAATGATCTTGTAGGTTCGCCAGTTTTTTTTTGAAGGAGCCAATATATAGTTTTGATATAGAGAGAAACTAAAAACTAATAACGAGATTAATTATTATTAATATAATAATATTATGAAATTTTCTGGAATTCCTAATCTAGACAATAAATCATCGTTTGCTGTTAATTTTTCATCTTGGTTCTGAAGCTCCGATTTGTATCTATATTATCGATCGAGTAGAAGATCATGCAACTTCACGTGTTACTACAACCAAACCGAAATTGATCCATAAATCTAAGCTTTACTTTTTCCCAAACGAAAATGTCTCAATTCAACCTTTCGCTAAAGGACGAGAACTTTGTGGTAATTGATAATGGCAGCTGGAGTATAAAAGCGCGTAAAGGAATTCGAGAAATTTTAGAGATTCCTTCCGTCGTAAGTTTTTATGCCTTTCTAAATCGAATCAATCATGCTTTGCTTTTCTGTCTCAAGTTCAAGAACAAGATATGGAAGAAGCTTCTCGTTTACACCGAAAGAATTCACGTTTCTTTGTCAATTTTAGTTCTATTCTTTCCTTTTCCTTACTGTGGGCTTGCTACTTCACTCACTTTTGTAGTTCCTTCCAACTGCAAGTGGTCATAAACTTGAAGCCTCAGAAAAAAGGGAGAATAGATTATCTCATGCTTCAAGATCACCATCATCAATTAACGAAACAAAAAATCAAATAAATTCCGAAACGAATCTCCTCCAAAAGAATAGCAGTAGTGAGTTTTCGTCTCACTCTTCGCCAATAGAACGCGGTGAAATAAAAAATTGGGATGAATTGGAAGCACTCTGGTAGTTACAAAACCAAATCTATTATAACTATGATTGATTAAACTAGAGAAAATTCGTCTTGTCTCCGAAAAAATAGGCGTCATATACTTACAAAGGAATTCGGTATCAGACGGTCGTGTAATGAGTGTCCTGTTATACTGACAACGCCGAGTTGGTGGACGAAATTTCAACATGAACGTATTGCTCGGATATTTTTCGAGAATTTCAATGTTCCGGGTCTTTATATCGCAGATCAAGCATTAATGGCATTGTATGCGTGTGGAAGCTTAAGTGGACTAGTAGTTGATGTTGGATATGGGAAAACAGGTTTTTTTATTTATGGCTTAAGGATATGGGAAAACAGGTTTTTATTTATGGCTTAAGGATTATTGAGGGATAATAAAAAGTGAACCTTTTAAATACCATTCAGATATTATACCAATTTTCGAGTCAATCATCCAATATCACGCCATACAAACATTGCCAATCGGGGGACAAGAAATCGACAAATATCTTCTCGGTATTTTTCAATCGAATGAACAACAGTTCTTGATTGGATATGATGGCACAATAGATATTGATTTTTCTCGAGCTATTAAAGAGATTACAGGTGGCTATCACGACGACGAGTATGAAGAGCAAGATAAAAAAGATGAAGCTGATAAATATCTGAAAGAAATCGAATATCATGGAAAAAGAGTAATCTCTAAAGGGTCTCTCATCCATGATTTATTCTATCGCGAATGATTCATGTTTATATGATTGATATTTAGTTCACAATCAATACTGAACGACTTCAACCCGCACAACCATCCTTCAATCCAAGTCTCGTTGGGAAAGATGAAGTGGCATCTCTGCCAGACGCCATTCATCTTGCAATATCCAGCTGTGATTTAGAAAAACGAAATATTCTATGGGAAAATATTGTTCTTACGGGCGGTTCATCTTTAATAAAAGGTTTGAATAATCGCTTCTTTTTTTAACCGTATTTTTCTCGTTAATGACAATATCATTATGAAAAGGGTTCAGAGAACGCCTTCAGAAAGAGCTTGACAAATATTCGAGTGTGACTGCGAATGCTGGAGATTCTCAATATAAGGAAGTGAAATTTATCAAGATTCCAGAGTATGTATCAGATTTTAAAGAACGGCAGGATTTAGCGGCTTTTCTTGGGGCTTCGATGGTAGCCAAGGTTAATATTTATTTAGGTCATATTTTTGATTATCATGGTTATAACTAACAATCAATATGATGTTACTTCTAGCTCGTATTTGGGGATCCCAAGAATTTCATAAGTAAAGTCGATTACAATGAGACCGGCCCGACTGTCGTTCACACACTGAGTTATTAGTTGAGAACTTAAGGTTGCAAACTACACCTTTTCAAAATCACTCATTAGACTATCTCCAATTTATTATTTTTTTATTATATATAAATTTAGTAAGGAACAATTCCGATTTAAAGGTGAGTATATTTTTTATTGCTTACATTTCTATAATTATGCAAAATTCATAAAAAAAAATATGTACTTTGACAGCCAATAATTCCCGCGTTCTTGATAAAAAAAACAACTGTAAACGTGAGTAAAATTTATCATCTTAATAAAATAACACCGAAACTTTTTCTACGATAAGAGAACGTGTTGAAGCTTACACGCGTATCACGCAGAGTATTTATCAACTCCATTTCTTTCAACTGCATGAATCATATACCGTAAATTGTTGTGAATAAGTAACATTCAATCGACATAATTTAGGGTCTAAAAATAGGGTTAAATTTTTTATATTGATCTATTTTTTGTAATTTAAATATAGTGCTTATCGTTATTCACGGCAGTTTACCGTTACGGTAATGCACAAATATTTTCTGAGAATGACATATTTATGCAGCACATTGAAACACGGGAGGTTGAAATGAGAGAAAGATCTCTGGTTAATTTGTGATGATTGCAATTTCTAGATTTTCTTATTTTACAAAGTAGACGATCGATTTTGGAGAACAAACGGATGAAACAATACGTAACACTAAACAAAAGATTTAAGGTTTGGTATTTTATATGCATCGAATATTTCGCAAATCTAATCGAGTTTCTGCTTCGTTAATTTTCCCATCTTAGAAAGAAAAACGTCGAGAATTTTCAAGCATATGACTAGAACAAATTACCGGCACGTGGCCTTTTTAAGTTAAGTGATCCCAAAGTCAGGTGAACGATAATTAACTATATATAAATACATACAATCTAGTTTTGCTATGAAGGAAGGTTAAAACTTCACCCCCAAAAATGACCGAATAACGAAATAATTCCCTTTACAATATCCGAAAACATTTTCAACCGATCAAATATTTGGTGTCTATTTTTTTATCGAAACTTTCATATATTCCAAAACTGATTAACTTGGGGCCGTTATGGAGTCAAAATCAGCCCACATGTCTAATTAATATTTTAAAAAGATAATTTCTCCTTCGTCCTCAATAAATTTGCATGTACTATAACTTCGCCAAAGTGCTTTAAACTTTGGTGTGTCATCAAATAAGTAGTATTTGCCTAATACTTTCGCAAGATGTTTTGTTGCTTCTTCGGCGTGATAGAATGGCATCTCGCTAAAATAGTGGTGTGCTACGTGTGTTGAGGTGATTTTGTGGAAGATGTCGTCTAGGAATCCGAAATGTCGATCAACTGAGATTATAAGAGGGAATTTAATTATTAAATGCAACGTGTAAATGATGTCATACAAGTATAGACGTACCTGTGCTAGCAGCACCTCGAACGAAATCCCATTGTTCATCTCGATAGAAAGGTACCTTTGGATCAGTATGTTGTAAAAAGGTAATCATCACCAGCCAATGATTCACAATCAAATATGGGATAAAATAAAATTTTACGATGGTAAGCAACGAAAACGTAAACGAAAGATATGTGAGCGTTGATATAGCCATAATAATTCCAATATCCGAGATCACTATATCCATATATTGACTTGGAGTGTACATTGGCGCCGACGGATTATAATGATTTATCCATTTGGTTTCCGAGTTTGGATACGATCTACTAGAAGCATTTTTTATCAAGTAGAGCGGCCAACCAAATAATTGTTGTGCAATTAGATTCAGTAGTGTGTAGATTGGTGCATCTTGAAATATGTGCCCTTCATCGTCATCATCATCTTTTCTTGGTGGAAGTCCGAGTTCTGACCGAGTTTTTGGAACAAACACTTGATCTTTATACACGTTTGCTGTATTTTTGTGATGTTGTGAATGAGTAATTCGCCATGAATGAAAAGGAACGAGAAGTGCCGAGTGAAGTATCCACCCAACAATATTATTTACAGTTCTACTTGGCGAGAATGAACGATGTCCACATTCGTGAGCAAGCACCCAAACTCCAGTACCATATGCACCCACGAAAAACCAATAGGTTGTCCAAGCAATTAATCGTAATATGTTTGGTAATAAAGGGTCGATAAAAGTCGCACCATACACTAATAAACCAATTATTGAGAGGTCTTTTAAAAGATAACCCAGAGATCGTTGTGTACTTCTTTGAAAACAGTGTGGAGGAATTGCTTGACGAATCTCTTTGATTGTTAGATTGGGTGGAACATAATGGCGTTCAAATTTTCCATCTGGTTCATTATCTTGTTTTATTGATTCGCCTCCTGCTGTTGAACGATAGATAAGTTCAGAGTCTTCAGTGTTTGGAGGTGCCATGTTTATTTTAGATTATTAATTAATTAATTAAGACAAAAATCATAAATTATACTTTTTCTATGCTGCTTTTTTATAATTATTTTGGTGAACCACTGTTTTATTTACGCTGCAGGATGTTGGGGCAGATTTCTCTTTGACATGTAGTGCAATCAATCAATTGGTAAAAAAGGGTTCTGTATAGTGTACTGAAAAAAAATGAATTCAAAATTTGCATTATTTCTTTTGACCTTCCTAAAATAACCTATACTAATCGCGTAACGGTAATTCATCTCACAAGATGCATATGAAAGCAGAAAATCTTGGGGTTCTTGTTATGCATAATTGTTTTTTTTTACATTGTCCAATCATTTCTGTTTGTTATTGTTCATTGGCATGTGCTTTCTCATCTTTTATAAAAAAATATTGGGGGAGGTTAATTCACGAGTATAACGATAACGAAAGATCTTTCTCGGAAGTCAACTCAATTTTCTGGTGGAAGTCTACGGGCTTAGGGACAGTGCAGGATCACGTGGCCTTAAAATTCACGCTCACGTGATCACGGAAAATTGACAAAGGTTATTTTATCGTTTGGATAGGGTTAGGGTTAGGGTTAGCTGAGGATAAGGTTATATGTAAAATTTGCTTTTCCGACATTAGTACTTCAAGCTAGATTTTGACATTTGTTTTCCACATTTTTTATTTTCTCGTGTCAAAGGCCATTATTTATTTATTACACGATTTACATTATGATAATTCGGGCTGGCACTATAATAATTTAGCATTAGCTTAGTGCCGGCCTGAATTATATAAATGCCAACCAATAAAATCACGTTCATGTGATTAATTTACACGTGATTTGCCTATCTAGAAAATTTGACTGGTAGTAAAAGTTACTGGTTTAATTTTTGTATTGTGGTCAAAATGCAACCTCATTTCTTCTTTTGGATAGAACCGGGAAAGCAGGCTATCAACTAATTTGGTTAACAAATAGATAATGGTTCGCACGGTGGTTACTGCGGTGAGGACCTTTATAGTTTTCTAATTATTGATTTCTTTATAAAGAAAGAGAATAAATAAATGTCTACTCATACTGAAATCGCTCAAATATTTCACGGAACCTTTATACATCCAGTGTCCTTAGATAACTTGGAAATTATCGAAAATGGGTTAATGGGCGTAGACGCACATGGGAGAATTGCATTTGTGGAGCGAGGGGTCATTGGTGATTTGAAGATTCGTGAAGTTTTATCAAAGTGGAAAGTAGTAGTAAATGGCGAAGAGAAGGTAGCAGAATGAATTGTACATTTCATTTTAAATTCTTTATAAACCATAAATAGTAATAATGATTTTAAAAAAAAGGTAAGATTTTTAACAATGGGTCAATTTCTATTGCCTGGTTTCATTGACACGCACACCCATGCAGCACAATATCCAAATGCTGGCACAGGGAGGGACCTTCCTCTACTCGAATGGCTAAAAAAATACACCTTTCCGCTAGAATCTTCATTTTCTTTGCTTTCGTACGCTCAAAAAATATACCCGATAGTCGTGGATCAATTATTGCTCAGCGGCACAACCACTGCCGTCTATTTTGCGACGATCCATCTTGAATCGAGTAAATACCTTGCACAGGTCGCATACGAAAGAGGACAGCGTGCGTTCGTGGGAAAAGTGAGCATGGATTGTAACGCGCCTAATTGTTTGATCGAAGTGGTGGAAGAGAGTATCAAAGAAACTGAATCTTTTGTTCAGTATGTGTTAGGTTTGGATCCTAATGAAAATAATGACTATGACGGTGAATACGAGAGAAGGGGTACGCGATTAGTGACTCCGGTGTTAACTCCGAGATTTGCGGTGTCGTGTACCTCGAAAATGCTGGAAGCTTTGGGTAAGCTGGCGAAGAAATATGATGATATACCGATTCAATCACATTTATCAGAAAATCAAGAAGAAGTAGCATTTGTCAAAGAATTATTTCCCCACATTGAGAATTATACAAAGGTATATGACGATCATGAACTATTGAATGATCGATCGATCATGGCTCATGGTATTTATTTGTCCGAGTCGGAACGAGCATTGATCAAAGAACGGAACGCAGGAATATCACATTGTCCAAATTCCAATTTCACTATTTTATCAGGTGTTTGTAATGTACGTCAATTACTAGATGACGGGATAAAAGTCGGATTAGGAACCGACATTAGTGGTGGTTCGGCAAAAAGTATATTGAACGCTGTACGGAATGCAGGTGTCGCTAGTCGGGTGATTTCCATGTCGTCGTCTAACAATGACAACGAAATGAGACAACAACCTCTTTCGCTACCTGAACTCTTGTATCTTGCTACAATGGGCGGAGCACGGCTGCTTAATCTCGAGAACGTAATTGGGAATTTCCAAGTCGGAAAAGAATTCGATGCTTTGTTGGTCGATACCGTCACTCCTGTTGATCCGGCTCCTTTTAAAGTGTTTGAAGGAATCGATGACAGTGATGTGTTGAGAATGTTTGAAAAATTTATGTTTTTGGGCGATGAAAGAAATTTGAGAGCTGTTTATGTTAAAGGACGAATGGTTTCTGGAGTCGAGTTTATTAGGAATAATAAGAGTAGCACTAGTAATAGTGATGATGATGCTATTATCATGAAGAAAATTAACGAATATAAGAATAGTGGAAGGTGTCCCGTTTGTAACGATAGTAAAAATTAAATATAACCTTATATTGTCTATTTTCACTGATCTAAATATAAATGGAAAGTTTATGTTTAGCTTTATTAGATCATGTGATTAATATATCAAACAAAAAAAGATATAAAGATTAACGAAAAAAATAGTATCTGCTCTCTGATTAAATTCAAAAAAGAAGAAACAAAAATGGAGACTAACGTCATTAATTCCGTAGACGACAATAAGAAAGTATCAAATGTCACCAATGTTCTCGCCTTTTTACATATTTGTCAACAACTTAAGGTTGGGATATACTAATATAAATTGATATTCACGAGAAAGATTGTATTTCACGGATGTATTATTTTTCTAAATAAAGCAAACGAAACGTACCGGATGGTTGTATCATGGAATCAAAAACCCGGAATCGATTTCTGATCACATGCATCGAATGTCTATCTTAGCCTTATTATGTGATGATGATTCTCTGGATCGTGATCGGTTCGTGAATATATTGAGGGATTAGAATTCATATTTGTCTTTATTAATTTGATTTTTTCTAGATGTGTCAAGATGGCTGTTGTGCACGATTTGGCTGAGAGTAAAGTGGTATTTACGTTTTGATTACATATTTTCTATATTTATGATCATACTTAAATTTGTACTATAGGGAGATATCACACCGTTAGATGGGGTTAGCAAAGAAGAGAAACATCGGTTGGAAGAGGTATTTTTATCTTGATGACATATGTAATTGATGGTATTGCTGTAATCAAGTTTGACTTTTACGATTTTGCTTTAGGAAGCAATGCTTCATCTATGCACAGATCTATTAGGCAACACCCCACAATCCAAAGAAATCTTTGAGTTATGGCAAGAGTACGAGAATGCAAAAACAGCTGAAGCTTTGTTCGTCAAAGATCTGGATAAATTCGAGATGATATTGCAGGCTTCCGAGTATGAACAATGTGAGTTTTATTTAGGCAATTCGTTCATCTAGCAATGATGCGTATTATTCACCCCGTTCATCACACATAGCCGATCAAAAAGATCTGACGGAATTTTTCGAGTCGGCCAGTAATAAGATTCGACATCCATTAGTAAAGCGTTGGGCAAACGAGTTGTATGTGCAACGTGAAGAGTATAAGAAAAAAACAATACTGGGATTTGTATCTTAATTAGTAAAAAGGCGAGCGCGATACAGTAAGCCATCTAAGTGCCCGCCCCTCGGGACCATAATAAAAAACAGGCAGTGTGCACTTAGAGTGTGTGTGCATTTATAGGGAATAAAATATGTGTCTTACAACTTGGAACCAAGCCATACCGTGCATTTAGAGCGAATTTATACAGTGCGTGCATTTATAGAGGATGCACTTGGAGAAGTTTACTATATGGTAAATATGAGGATTTAGTTATTATTATTGATAAACACAGATTAATAGTTTTCCTAGCCTTATTTTTTATTATATATAATTTGATTCGGTCACACTTATTAAGTTTATCAATGTATCATTTGCGTGTAAAAGTTATCATTTTCATAATATGTAATAAAATAAAAGATAACGAGAAAACAAGAACACATGGATTAATTGAGATAGCGTGATAAAGGCGTTATTTACTTTGAAAAGACCATAAAATGAAGTAACTTATCAGAATCCTCTTAAAAATTTTCACTCTCTTCAACAAGCACTACACTACCCAACCCATTATTCGGCTCCACACTATCATTAACACCCGATCTATAAATCGGCTCCACACTATCATTAACACCCAACCCATTGATCGGCTCCACACTATCACCACCACACCGTTCACATCGATGCACATGATACGTGTTGTAGGTGACATGAGGACGTTTAAGCCAGTTAGTCCAAGATTCTCGTTCAACTAGCGATCGTCGATTTCGATTTTGATTATTGCTATTACTATTACTATTATCAGCCTCACTATTAGCTCCAAAATATGGTCGTATACTACGTAACCATTGAGGACGATACAAGAACGTATATATCAGAGTTGTAAGCATGCCACCTATGCACATCCAGATTAGTGGGGCGGGCAAGCCTAGGTTTCTTTTACCCACATCCTTGACCCGTACTGGTTCTGTGGCCTTGGATCTTGTGAAGACGTTTAGCGGGTTTATTGAGTTCCATGATATGTTTAACGGGTTTATTGAGCTCCATGATACCATTGTTGTTTGAAATTGGTGGTAAAAAAATATAGCTGGATTCAGGGACGATGATTTTCTGTGATACACATAATATCGCAAAATCTAGTATGATCACAGAATTCATGTTCACCTAGTTTTGGTGAATTCAAGTGTTACTGTTTTGATGTGTCTTGGCATTACTCGGGATAGAAACGTAGTTTATACAGTGGGACAGCATAAGAGATCCATTTTGAATCAATTTATATAGTGTTATAAATCAATAACAAGTAACTTTACAAAAAACAAAACTTACAGATTGATAACTTTTTTAGTTTTAAATTGGCGCGAGATGAAATCATGTGATAACGTGATTTGTCACGGGATTGTAATTTAATTGGCTGGCATTTATTATAATTTGGGCCGGCACTATGAAAATAAAAATCCCAAAATTGTAAACAAGAGAACTGACAGATATTATGTAATTATTAAAAGAGAAACACATCCTGAATCTGTGCCAGATTTTATTGATCCTGAAAAATTTTACTATAATATTAAAAATTGATTTTAGAATAAGAATCGATATTAAAATATAATCAAATTATTACTTTCAGAAAAGCAAAAGTTGGTAATTATAAAGAGAATATGATTATAGATATTTTTTTATTATATTTATATATAATTTAAAAAGCAAAATAAAGTAACTATAGAAAGATGTGATTATAAATAGGTGTAATTATAAAGAAATTTAATTATAATAATCAAGATTATATATATATAAAATTATTTTTTCAATATTTTTTATTAGTACATAAAGCTAGATTTAAATATTTGTTTTTTATATTTTTATATTTTTGCATCTTATTTTTTTGTATTAAATTTGTTTTATTAAATTAATCAAAAATTTTTGTATAATTATTAATTATTATATTTAAAATTTATATATTATCATAAATAAACTTTTATAATTATATCTCTTTATAGTTATTTTAGTTTACTTTTTAAATTATATATAAATATAATAAAAAAATCTTTTTATAGTTATATTCTCTTAACAACTATCAAATTTTGCTTTTTTAAAAGTAATAATTATAGAAAAATTTGATTATAATAGATATTTTTGTAATATAAATATTTAATTAATATCTAATATTAATAAAATTAATTTTATAAATTACATAATGCATTTTTTTATCTTATTAATAAGTTTTGTTTTCTATTTAGTATAAAAATAATTTTAAAATAATATAATATTGTTACCATTTTATATGAGTCTTTAAGAGAGTTAAAGAGTACTTAATAATATTATAATAAGTTATTTGACCAGAGTAATTATAGTAAAGTTTATTAAGAATAATGGGTGAAAGAGTATAATATTGTCATCGGTCTGTGATCTTTACTGATGAAGATATTCACGAGATAGGTAATAGTGACTGTATTCACGCAAAAGTATATAATATAAGTCTTTCTAAAATACGAGTTCCAATGTTAAGTAACAAAGATTGTATTTATAATTATCACAAGTAAAGCTTTATAAATAATATAAATAATAATTCAACACGTAATGAATTATTATAACAAGGAAGATAAGAAATTAAATAGGAATAAGATAATTAGAATAATCAGCAGTTTGATCTATTCTTTATTATTGTCAAGACCAAAAATAAAGTACAAGATTAAAAATGATATGATAACTATTGCAACATGGTGACAAATAAAGCATCATCTAGTTGCAACTAGTTACAGCTTATAAAATTTTGGAGTTGCAATGTGTTGCAACAGGTAACAAATAAGTGTTACGTACTTGCTGCACCATCTCTATACAAGATGTCTAATTTTCTATATTAAATTACATTCATTTAAATACATATTAAAATAATACAGATCTACAAGATTTGTAATGATATAAAGAATTAATAAAATAATAAAGTTATAACATGCATAATACCAAGAAATGATAAATATAATACAAATTAATCTAAGTATTACAATTAAAATTAGTGAAATATTGATATTACATTAAATTAGATGAATTAATAATCAAAATTAAATAGATTAATAATTAGAAATCAAGAATCAATAAAATATAATTAATAAAAATTGTGTAATAAATAAATAAAATGATTAGTGATTTATAATATCATTAGATATAAATAAAAGATAATTAAAAATAAATAAATAAATGGATAAATAAATATTTATAAATAGAAATTAATTAAATATCACTTGGAATCTGATAATATTTCATATCAGGTGATCAAGTAAAAGAGTGAATGGTGACAATATGTTTTTATTATTAAAAAATAATTAATTTTATATGTAATTAGAACAGCTTCATCAGATTAAATCTAAAAAATTTGAAAAAAATATATGTTAAAATATGTAATATTTTAATATAAAAATAAAAAATATTTATTAATAAAATTGAAAACTTTTATATAAAGAGAAAAACTCATTTTTTATTATATTTTATTAATAAATTTGTTTTAGTATTTCATATATAAACTTTATAAAATAATTACAATTACAATTTTTATTTTTATTTAATTTTATAATATGTTATTTTTACTATATCTTTTTTTACATATATATATTATAGTTTTTATCATTCAAAAATAAATAATAAAAATAATCTATTATTAATATAAACTAATATTTAATTTGTATTAATTATTAATAGAATAATAATATTATCTTTTTTATAATATTTTATTATAATCAGACTTTTGATAAGTATTATTATACTATGAATATTTAACTAAATTTTATTTAATCTTCTTAATCTTATTATATTTAATTTATTTTGGAATTATTATATAATATATCTTTTTTTATTTTATAAATAGACTCTCACTATTATTAATAAATATAATATCTACTTAGTGTAAAATAGCTTAAAGCAATATAATATTAATATTTTTTAGCAACTTGGTAATATTCAATAATATACAATTAATATAAATAATATAATATAAAATTATTGTTATTAAACTAATTAATATATAAATTTCATTAATAATAAACAAGAATAGTTTATTAACTAGTTAAATTTTATATTGATCAGTCAATATCTTTGGTTGCAAACTGGTGATTGCACATTAACACTATTTTTCAATTTTTGAGACAATTAATCATTAATACCGTAATTTCTGTTGAGTCAAATCTGCGCCGATATCAACATGATCGACGATCACCTGACTACTTTTCATCGTAATAATATAATAAACACAATAATAACGATAAAACGAAATTGCGTAATTACGATAAAATAAACATAATAAATAAATAAATATTTGTACGCGTGCGTCCACGCGTCATAAGGTCATAAGATGCAAACAAAGGCATTTATGTCACCACACTAGGTAATTGTCTAAATTTATAGGGGTTATTTCTCTATGTACCGTTTAGCACTGTATGTAATATCCAGGGTCTTATTCAAAAATTGTACAGATGGTATTATATAGTGTCTACATAATATTATTACTATGTGTGTTTATGTCAACAAGAAAATAAATAGGTATTTACTATTTCTGGATTTTACCGAATTTCTCATTGTTGTATTCCGTTAACTTGTTTAATATGTATATTCTATCAATTTACTTTTAATAATTCACTCGTTAGATATTAGTTCAAATCATTTTTCTTTTGCGTCATCTTCGTTATCGTCGTGTTAGTCAAAATTTCCATTTGAGACTGTAATCACGCCATCACCGAATTCAGAAATTTATTTTAAGGAGTAATTTTGGATGTTCGGAATAGATTTCGATCAAGGTTAAGATTCAGCCTAAATTCAGCCTAATTCTTTGTCTCCGAAAATTCATATCGATATATTGACATATCTCTTGTCACACTTCCCTCAATTATTATTATTATTATTATTATTATTATTTTTTAATATAGATTCTCGGATTAAGATAATAATCGATATTACCATTACAATCTGATTCTCATTATAATAATCACTTATTATCTTCTCCTAACACAATACACAGAACAGGTCACAAGGACTCATTGTTTTGCGTGGTCGTACCAAATTACTCTTACATTATAATAAGCAATTAAACATCAGCGAGCATTTCTTTGCTCCCCTTTCACTATCTTCCTATTTTCCTTTTCCTTTACAATTCTGTGTGAAAGAGTGTATAAAAAATTGTTCCTATAGAATATATTATCATTTATATTATTTATGATTAGAGAGAAAAAAAGATACGACTAATTGTTCATACGAAACTTCTTATTCGAAAAACTTTCGTTTCCTAATTCCAGAATTCCTTCTCATTCTCGTTACTTTACTCAATAAAAAAACATGAGACCAGTAACCGGCAGAAATGGTGCATTAATTTTGGCCCTTTTGGCATTAGTCACAAATGCTGCACACCATAATACCCGTCTTGAAAACTTTGGTCCCGAGCTGAAGCACCGTAAATACGATGCTCCTTCTATTGTAGAACAAGAGGCTATATACAGTTCGTCGTTGCTTAATAACCCAAAAGAAATTGCTTTAGAATTCGTGAGGGAACAATTGACCGACAGTGAATTCAAAGTGAAGAATTCGTATAAATCGGAAACTAACGGTGTAACACACGTGTATTTACGACAAATTGTTAATGATTTGGAGGTGGTGAATGGTGATATAAATGTGAATGTTGACGAGAGTGGTCGTGTCATATCCTATGGAGACTCTTTCTATAAGGGTGATAAGCCACAGAAAGATGCCGTGATCAATTCCGAGACTACTACATCGAAATTTCAATTAAAGATTGATTTTACTAAATTTGGTTTTAATAAGAAATCGAGAAAGAGTAAACGTGAATATTACTCCTCCTTATTCAATAATCCAGACAGATCAGTAATTTCACCCGAAGAAGCAATATTCTCACTTGCTAAACATATCAATCAAGATATTCCACACCCGGAAAAAATCGACTACACAGAATCCGTTTCGTTCGATGGCGATCCAATTCTTCTTGTCACTGGTGTCCCATTCGCAATCTCTGATGTAGAAGTTACACAAGTCTATGTACAAACAGATGAAGGCAAACTACAACTTTGTTGGGATCTCAAGACAGAAATGGAAAATAACTGGTATCACGGACAAGTGAATGCTCATGATGGAAAAGTTGTGCAATTGATTGATTGGGTGGCTGACGCATCTTACAATGTCTTTCCAATCGGAATTAATGATCCATCAGATGGATCACGTGAAACTGTTATTGATCCCGCTGATAAGCTCGCATCGCCACTTGGCTGGCATTCACAAAGCCGGAAAAAGAATTTTACAGTTACTATTGGCAATAACGTTTTTGCACATGAAAATCTGGCAGGCAGTTGGGAGTGGGAGAATAATTACCGACCGGAAGGAGGTCAAGACCTCAACTTTGACTTTCCATTGAGTTTGGAAAAAACTCCGAAAACTTATATCGATTCATCAATAACAAATCTCTTCTATTGGAACAATATTGTATGTATTTTTATTGATAACTATTATATTATGTCACATCTATTAATTGATTCCAATTATATTTTATATTTTATACTTTATAGGTTCATGATTTATTCTATCGATATGGTTTTAATGAGGTTGCCGGAAATTTCCAACAATCGAATTTTGGAAAAGGAGGTAAAAGTAATGATGCGGTAATTGCAAATGCACAAGATGGTTCTGGGTATGTGTATTCTGGATTTTTTGCCATGTGATTACACACCAGATATTCATGTGAATGTATATTACTTTTAGATACAATAATGCCAATTTCGCCACACCACCAGACGGTCAACACGGAAAGATGCGAATGTATGTCTGGGACGTAGTGAATCCATGGCGCGATGGTGATCTTGAAGCTGGTATTGTCGTAAGTATTTGCTTATTTATTTCTTCCATTATTTAAATTAGCAGAACCTAATGATAATTCATATTTATATGATAGATCCACGAATACTCTCATGGTATCTCAACCCGATTAACTGGTGGACCGGCAAATAGTGGTTGTCTCGGATGGGGCGAAGCTGGTGGTATGGGTGAAGGATGGGGCGATTATTTTGCCACCATACTAAGAATGAAACCAAGTTTTAAACGAGACACGACAGAATTCGGAATGGGTGCTTGGGCAAATGGTGGTGAAGGCATCAGGCGATACAAGGTTTGTAATCTTTTTTATGAGATCATTCTTCAAGCAAGTAGCATTCATAATTATTTTCCAATAAACAAACTGTTCTTTTTTTTTGTATGTAGTATTCAACATCAAAAAAGACAAACCCGGAAACATTTAGTTGGATGGATAAACCAGGTTATTGGGGTGTTCATCCTAAAGGGTAAGTTATGATTCGAGACATATTTTCTTTAATATAATTATTGATCATATTATTTTTTATTAATTATATGAATAGTGCCGTATGGGCTGAAATGTTATACGAAGTATATTGGAATCTAGTAGATAAACATGGTTTCACATCCGACTGGTTCCCACCAACAAACGAAGCCGAAAACTCATCATGGTACACAAAACCAAGAAGACGTCCTAACCAAGGACGCAGTCTAATTCCAAAACATGGTAACACACTCGCCTTACAACTTGTAGTCGATGCAATGAAACTGCAACCATGTCGGCCACAATTCATCGACGCACGTAACGCTATCATTCAAGCCGACGAAGTTTTGACTGGCGGCGAGAATAAGTGTGAAATCTGGCGAGGGTTTGCGAAACGTGGGTTAGGCACTAAAGCTAAAATTGTTGGTGGAAGTCCATGGGGCGGTGGTGTCCGTAAGGAAAGCGATAGCGTGCCTAAGGAATGTGAGGAATAATCGTCATTAAAATGGATTAAGACTTTGAGTTAGTAGAAAATCGGGGCAAGGAAAATTACAATAGTTAGTTTTGTTTCTCGGCTTTTCATTAATAATTTAATAGTTCATATTATACATTTGCATGCGCACACACACCCACTAACTATAACTAATAAATAAATTTTTTTCATAGAAGTATTAGTTTGCTCTATAAATTTGCTTGATTTTTATTTGTCCTGACTTCGACCAACATCATTTTCATTAGTATATTCTGTTTTTCCCTCTTTTTTTGTAGTTATTTTACAATTCTTTTTCTTTTTTAATCTGTGAATAATTTTCTGGTAAATAAAAAATATTTTTTGTGAATATATATACGTATTAATTTTAATGGCTTTAATCAGGTCAAATGCTCAACTATACGATACTTGAATAGGTTACAATCAAAATTATCGGTAAAATTTGTATATGCATAACACAAAGTAAAGGATTTGGAGAATCTTAGTTTAAATACATAATACATTGTAATAAACATGTATCTTGTGTTTCTGTGATCGATGTAGTCCAACCATATAATAAAAGAGAAAGAATAAATAATTACATTTCTGCAAGTGCGATAAATTGTTCCAAGGTCTTTATCAACAACTGTTCATGACCATCATGAGGGACATGAAAGAACTATTCGATTAATCGCAAACCATGAAAATAAACAACCGGTATAACGTGTAAAAATAATATTTCACGCATATTGAATGCATACTAAAGACAAAATTTAATAGCATATAATAACTGAAAATAACATACCTTTAATTTGCCATCATTTGAAATGTAGAATGAATTCAAACCTACCTTGGTTAATACAATCGAAGAAAGTTTTAAGTGAAGTGATCGAAATAAATAGTCTTCTATTTCCTCTAAAATTCCTGATACTTCTGTTATTGTATGTTTAGTACATAAATGTAAAAGAAGTAATATCATAAACAAAATTTAAACAAGTCGCACCTTGCGATCCTGTATGATTCAGCTTTCTTTTTTTTTTTCATATACAGAAATTATGCCAAAACCATGTCAATCGTAGGTACATGAAACAATTAAAGAATTAATTAATTAATTGTTTTAATACCCTTGATATATTCGCTTCACATCTTCAAATGATAGAGAAACAGTAAAGTTACTGATATCATCAATGCTGGGAATTTTGTAAGTAAGCTCAATTGATTTGGATATTTTGCAAAAATCTAAAATTTGGTATATTAATTTATAATTTTTGAATTTGGCATAAATAATATTTTTATTACCGTCTTCAATACTATCCAAATCGGAGAACATCGATTTTGACCAAATCTCTACCAATTGTCGTAGATTGTACGGTTGAATAATAAATGGACATACACGACAGTCAAAACGCGATTGAAGCCATTCAAAAAACATCTCTGTGATGGTTTGTAACGCTTTGACCATTAAAAGCGGATATTTGGTAAACTTTGCTAGAGCATAAATGACAAAATAACATCAGATTAAATTATCGGGCTTTAATCAAATTAAATATTTGTTCACACAGATCCACACATAAGTACTCACAATTGGTCAAAGAGACTTCGTTTTGAATACTTGGCAAGATTACAATTTGAGATTCTTGTTCTTTTTTCCGTCCTTATGAATAAATAATTATATTTTATCAATATCAGTAGCGTATCATAACGCATGTAAAAAAAGAATATGCTGACAAGGATTTCTTTACCTTTATATTTGAATAGAATCTTCACTCCTAACGGTTTATCATGAACTCCTGCCAAAAACAGGCTTATTATCAATCATTCTTCACCCAATACACAAATAGTGAAATCCAAAAACTTCTAGATATATATCCGCTTATAATGCCTTACCTGACCATCCAGCCAAATTAATACGCAAAATTTTTACCTCTTCAATTTTGCTACCATTGAATTCATCATCTTGTTCGTTTTCATCATTATCATATCCTGTTACTGTTTCTTTTGATAGCAGATATTCTTTCAATTCGTTGGTGTAATTTTCGATTTTCTCATTATTAAAATTGTAAAGTGGAGTGCAATGATATAATGTGTATGATTTATTGAGTAAAAAATCTAAAGGAAGAAGATAACAAATTTATTCTTGTGTTATAGTAGAAAAATCCTCGAAACACATTCTTTTAACTTACCTACATTCAAATGAGATTCTTGTTCAGTTATAACACTGTTATTGCTTTCTGTAAAGGAATAGTTTTCTATAGTTTCCATGAGGTGAATGAATGAATGTACTAAGGAAAAGAATTATCATCGGAATGGCTAGCAAATTTCCGATATTTAGACGCGTTCTTTTATGATATTACGCGTAAATTCCCATAACAAGAAAATGATGTGGTGCGTCAAATCAACGAAAATTATGCACGAGATTTATTGCTTCCATGTAATAAAAGTATATTTGGTATTAATTTATCTTATTTACTGATATCAAATTCATACATGTATATGATTTATTACCATACTCAGATTGATTTTCTTTTTGAAAGAAGACATTTTTTATTGATTACTCACTTAATACGTGATATCTTTAAATTATTAACGTTAATACAAGTGCTCATTTTTAAATAAATCCGCACAAAAACATGCAATAAACATACTAAACCGCGAATTTGGAAGAGAATCGTCAAAACTACGGTTTATATTTTAAATATTACCCAAATTGGGATTATATTACACTAATAAAAATTCTAATACGAATACACTGCCATCTATAAGCCTTTTTTTTTTAAAAAAGAAATAGACAATAAACGACTTAAGCCATAACCCGAAATCAGATAAACAAGTTTGCACGCAATAGATTAAATAGGAACTGAAATGAAAATTAAAAATATGAACCATCAATTAATTTGCATTGCTTGGTGTTCCGCCTATCGAAGCAACGACACCATCTTCATGAATAATAGATGATGGTATTGGACTACGTGATGCTGAACGTGAGATTCTGTTATTGTTACCGTTAATGGCTCCATTTCGGATTCCTAATATTCTTTGGAGAGCTGAAGATGCCTGTATTTGCGCCCCCCCAAAAAGTAAATATATTCGACATCAGTCTTTCTCTTAAGTAAACATAATTAATTATCTGATTAATAGTATCAATTGATTGATAGCACTTACAGCCAAGTATTTGCCTACTTCATGATCAACCTCTGCAATTTTGGCTCGTTTCTCGGATAACTTCTCTGCTAGTCGTGATTTTCGTTCACGTTTTTCATCACGCTCCGCCTCCAACCTAAATAAATAATGAATTCATTCAATAATTTATATTATTAATTTATAAATACTATCATATTTACCTCTGGCGTTCAGCCATCTCATATTTGAATCTTTGAAGCATGCGATGATGCGCAAATGAATCTCCATTTTCAACACCATCTTCAGTTTTAGGTACTAAAGTATATTCCTCGGGCGCCTGTATAACAAATTCTCTTTCGTCCATTAGTGGAATATTTTGATATATGAATCTAAAAATTAAATATATTTAAAGATTAGCTTAACGATTAGAAACAAAAAGTAAAAACCGACAATAAAAAAATGTACCCGTTTCGCCTGCACTTAGCAATCTCCCGTCGTAAATATCCCTTCTCTTGTATCAAGTTTTGAAGATCTAGATTTTTGTCATCCATTTCTTGCCGCGCTTTAAGAGTATCAGTTTTGTCGGCCAATCTTGTTACATGCGCTTTACGATTTAAGGTTCTTAGACGAACCATACAATATTTGGAATCTTTGGTAAGCTCAAGGAGGCGATCCTTAGAAAACTATATACAATCATAATTGAATAAGTTATTATTATAAAGGCAAAGAAAAACCTTGACGAATTGTCTATACATAACAAGCATTAATGAAAATACTTCTTGTTTGATCACATACAGGAATTTTTATTTTCGACTTTTCATCTTTTTCATCATCTTTTATCTTTGGTGAATCGGACTTTATATGCTCCGAAAGCTTTGCATTTTTCTCCTCTTGTTTCACATGCGGAGGCTTATCTGTACTTGGTTTTTGAGAGGCTTCATTGTATGTAAGCCTAGCTTCTTCCATAGTTTTTGCTGACTCTAATTTTAACTTGTAAAAAATCTCGGCCAGCTCGTTAAGATATTGCAGTTCTGGAGTGAAGTTATACTGTTCGACGAATCGTTTGAAATTCGTTGGTTCGGGAATTTGTTCGATAGTTTGTTGATCGGCTTCTTCTTTGACCATGTTTATTTCGGTATATAATATCGATAATGTATAATATGCTTGTAGCGAATGCAAAAAATCAGGTGTGCTATCGCTATATTTTTTTAAGTCGATGTTGTTATCTAGATCCCGTGATCAGATGACAGATTGTCGTTTGAACTTGTAATGGCTTTGGTAAATATTGACCAAAAAAACCAGCTGCGACGTTTAGTAGTATTTGATTTTGACTGGTATTTTACTTGAATTATTTTTTTTCGTAGTTCTACTGAAGGTTATTATTACAATTTGATTTTCACATATTGGATTACTGCTATATTTCAAAATTCAAATAAATAGGTCCATGATTGATGCCAATTCGGATACCTGGATATTCAAAGAATTGTCTTCTGATTTATATAAAAAAATTGATCTATTAAGTGAAAAAATTCAATGGTAAAAAACTTATTTCATTATTTTATCATAAAGTTTTCTTTTAAGTAATTTTAAACTTTTTATTTTCTGTAAAAACAGGACGGATTTGATGTATTTCAATTTTTCAATGAAGGTCCACCCATCTACACACGACCGATCGATTAATTTTTATTTATTTTTAGAAATCAACTGTTATGCGAGTTACATGAGAAAGGTATCACGCGCGAACAGATCGAAGACGTTATGAGTAGAATTCCATTTGTAAACTACCATCAGTCATTTTTAGTTATTATTTTTACTGTTAATAAATATTATATTTTTTATTTATCATTATTGAATCGACAGAGACAAGAAATGATTGAAACCTTAAAAGTAATTAAGAAAAATCATGGTGATATAATTATATTGTCAGATGCTAATGTAGTATTTATCGATATTATATTGAAGGTATTTTATAATTAGTATTATTACGCTTGATGTTCCTTTATCGATAATTTAATAACTAAACACATTATAATAGGCAAATAAAGTAGATAACCTTATTTCTCAAATAATTACAAATCCGGCAGATTGGGAAGATACAGGAAGACTACGCGTTCATCGACTACACCCGACAGAAATAGCTCCTCATGGATGTCTTAACAAATGCGCATTGAATATCTGTAAAGGTAATTGTATTGTACATGGTTTTGCTGTTCTGAATTCTTTATGCAATCGATGGTTGAATTGTGTGAGTTTATTGATTGATTGATTGATTGATTGATTGATTTATAGGGACTGAATTAGTGAATTATCTTGCACCATTTATTGAACAACAAGAAAATTACTATAACCAAATTCTGTACGTTGGAGATTCAATCAATGATTTTTGTCCAGCCACCAAGATGAAAAGGTGTGTGTTTTTAATGTTTTTGCTGATTAATTGATTTATTCAATTTATGTATTTACATTTTTTGTATGATTAGTAATGATGTGGTGTTAGTACGAAAAGGTTATGCACTTGAGAGATTTCTTAACAGTCCTGGTTATTTTAACGATGATGATCTTGGTGGTAGTGATAAATTGAAAAAAATGAATAGAGACAAGATTAATGCACGAATCGTATATTGGAAAGATGCTTCAGATATATTGAATACTGTAAAAAATGAATTCGAACTAGCAGTTGCTGCTGAAACAGTTGAAGATATTTAAAATTTACTTAAAAATAAATACATATTTTTTCTGATATATGTGAGATAAGATAAATATATGTAAAAGGTCACTTTTTTTTACTGACATGTTACGTGCAAATGCTCTTATGGGCGCGATATGAAGTCATACAGATTACACACGATTGGCAAGATAATTGGTTTGCAACAAGTTCATTGAAAAAGGATCTCTGCGCAGAACATATAATGCAAGCTCCCTGATAAAAATGCAAACACATCCCTGAATGGCCGGGTTCTTCTTTGGTAATAGTTGTAATTTACGTATCTAACAAAGGTAAAAAGTATGTTTGATCTTTGGAAGTTCCAATCTTGGTATTGGTAAGATGTCGTAGAATTGGTTTTTCGACGTCTGCTCTCTTCTTTTTAAATCAAGACTTTTTTTGTGAATCAACACTTCAAAAACCATGGCGATTCCCGAAACAGTATATCCAACTGTCCGATTACGCACCGTGGGAATATAAAATCTCCGATGCACGTAATCTTAGCATGATCATAATCAAGAATCTATATATAGATTTTTCTCACGGTAATCAATTTACTCTGTCGCATGTATTTCTCACGACAGCTGACCTTGTACTAATAAGTTAAATTCAGCCTGATCCATTGTAAATCATACTATGTAGTAAATAACGTATTGTCTTTGAATTGTATAAATACAGTGAGAGAAACTGTTGGGGAATAATAGCCTTTTTATAATCTTTATCCTGAAAATATTACGCAGCAAAACTTAATTTAAGATGACCTTGTATACAGATAAAGGTGTTAAGCCAGATCTTGGAGTTTACGAAGGTTTTGGTAAGAATATTTTGAAAATTTTACAGTTTATGCTTTTGTTAACTTCATCTGATTTATTTAATTTTAGATTATGTTACCTTTTGGGTTGGGAATGCAAAACAAGGTAAGAACAATCATACAAAGTATTTTTCTTATTCAATATTAACTAATAGTTGATTTATATTCATAGCTGCATCTTATTATACGACAAGATTCGGATTTAAGCATATTGGATATAGTGGATTAGAGACAGGAGAGCGAGAAATTGTATCACATGTTGTGAGACAAGGAAATATTACATTTATGTTTCAATCAGCATTGAATCCGGGTAATAAAATATTGGGAGATCATCAAACCACACATGGTGATGGAGTTCGAGATGTTGCATTTACGGTTGATGATTGTCGTGGAATATTCAAACATGTTGTATCACGTGGCGCTAAAGTAATTAAAGAGCCTTGGGAAGAAAGTGACGAAAATGGTGTAGTTGTTATGGCAACAATCGCAACTTATGGTGATACAGTTCATACTTTTGTTCAACGAAGTTCATATAAAGGAGATTTCTTGCCGGGATTCAAAAAATTGTCTTGGCACGACCCTTTGGAGTCTGCTTTACCTGAAATCGGATTAAAGTGGTTGGATCACGTAGTAGGAAATCAACCTGATTCGGAAATGGTTAAAGTTGCCGAAATGTAAATTTTCATTTAGTCGATTTAATCTGATCAAATTAAAGTTTAAATTCATATTTATTAACACATAGGTATGAAAAAATTCTCGGATTTCATCGTTTCTGGTCGGTTGATGATAAACAAATTCATACCGAGTATTCTTCTCTTCGATCTGTCGTAATGGCTGATTTTGATGAAGCTATAAAAATGCCTATAAACGAACCTGCTTCCGGAAAGAAGAGATCGCAGATCGAAGAATTTGTTCAATATTACGGTGCGATTTTATTCATAAACTTTTAACTATTTTGATACAGTATTAACATAGCAATTAATAGGTAGCGCAGGAGTACAACATATTGCACTCAGAACTGAAGAGTAAGACCATCCACCAATCTCGATTTCAAAATAAATAAATACGATAATCAATTTCTAATTTTCTGCTCCTTCCAGCATAATTACAACTGTTAGACATCTACGAGCACGTGGCTGTGAGTTCCTTTCCGTTCCCGCGACATATTATGAAAGTTTGCGAGAACGACTTGCATCTTCTAGTATTAAAGTCACCGAAGAACTTGAAGTTTTAGAAGAATTGCACATCTTGATTGATTTCGACGAAGAAGGTTATTTGTTGCAGGTAATCTTAAAAAGTTTATCTTGCACTTGTATTGATAGTTTAAACTAATTGATATTATATTTAGATTTTCACTAAGCCAATGCAAGATCGACCAACTTTATTCCTCGAAGTTATTCAACGAAAAAATCATCAAGGTTTCGGTGCTGGTAATTTCAAGGTATGATAAATCGCTTGATTTTGAGAAATTTTATCTTTTTGATACAATAACTAAAATTCCAATAATACATAGGCTTTATTTGAAGCCATTGAGCGAGATCAAGCGGCACGAGGAAACTTGTGAATTCTATACAATAAATATTCTCCTGACTAAAAAAATAATGCTAATTTTGAGGCGTAGCTTATCGTTATTAGCCAATAAAAACACGTTAATATCACATGATTTCTGTCATGTGAAATTCGCATAAATAAAATCACTTTGTGTTAGAGCTAATTTCGTCGATCTCTCAATTTTGGTAAGGCTCACCCGGCCCGATTCCAAAATTTCTATTTGGTGTTATATTTTAATTTCTATTTTTATCTCTTGCTTTCAATCCTTAGTTGTATTTAAAAATCCTCCTTTGAATTTTCTCAAGTTCGCTCTTAAACAATAATGTGCATTATGCGTTACAATGTAATCCAAAAAAATCATATATATATAAAGTCCTCAAGGACATCAATAAAGAACCAGAATTAACAGTTGCGTACAATTATTCTCAAAGTAAATTAAGACTTGTAAAATCCTTTCCATAATAAATTTTAACGTTATTTTGATGTCAAGACCTTTGTTCCAGAAAAGGCATCATATTGTTAAGTGAAATCGTTATTGTGTGATGAATATAGGATCGATCGAAGTAATTAAACGTTAATAGTATCTAGAAAAAGCATTGTAACAGTTAATGTTGTTAATAACAAAACCAATTGCATATATCATAAATTCCAATTATCTCACCTAAACTCGAACCATCTTGTAATCCTTGAAACTCGACACAACTAACGATATTTGTAGATAAGGTGTACCCACCTATTCTCCTATTTCCGTGCATTCAATATCTCAGAATTTTATTAAGAAAATCTACTTTAGGTTATTAAGTAAATGTGTTCAGAATGAAATTTTAGATATATTTATGTTTTTTCAATAATAGTTGATAAGATGAATAAAATTTGAGATCTACTTTTTGTATATACATCTATTTTCATATATTAAGTATCTCAGGCTTTTATTATAAAAATCTTGTTTAAGCTATTAATTTACATTTTTTCAATAATAATTTATAATATAAATAAAATTTGAGAGCTTATTTTCTTGCAAATATCTCAAAATTTTATTAAATAATATAAGAGAATTAAAACAAAATTGGTAGTATTAATCACACAATAAATTAAATAAAAAACAAGAAACAAATCCAAAAAATATATAAATAATTTATATAATTAAATATTTAAAATTTTAGCAAAATATTATGTATATAAAATTTTTATATATGCTAAAAAAAGTGCACAAAAATATATAGATATATCTTATTGGCACATGTTTTAGAATTTATTAACTTAAATTTAGTTTATATTTATTATTATAGACAAAAATTCCTAAAACTAACTAATTAGTTTATATTTATAACAATATAAAACATGAAAAAAATTAAAAAAAACTGTAATTTTTTATTTTTAATTCACAAAGTCAAAATTATTATTATTAATTTCAATCTAAATGATTTTTTTTCTTGTCTATTATTTTGTTTAAATTTTAAACACTTCTTCAAAATAATATAAAACATGCTATAACAAAATTAAACAAAATAAATATTATATTATATTAAATTATAATAATCAAAATTTAATAAATTAAGCTATTAATATAATTAGTTAAAATATATATAAGTAATATATTTTAATTAATAAAAAATCAAGTTATTTACTAAGTTGATTAATAAGAAATTAATTAAGTATAATAAGATTAAATAAATTTCTTGTAATAATTTCTTTATTAATAATAAATATATTTTATATTTAATTTCATATTTTGATTTTTATATCTTGTAATATAAAGATATTAAATATTATTTATATACTTTATGATATATAATAATCTTATTTATATATTATTATAATTATTAATATTTGTTAAAGAAATTAAATAAATTAGTATATTAAAATTGAATCTTATTTTATCAAGTTAGTTACAATATAAATACTTTGTTATTTATCTTTAAATAAATATTTATTATATAAAGATAATAATTATAACTAAAAGAATTATTATAAATTACATATCTTTTTTAAACAAAATTCAAATAATATAAAAATAATAACAATAAGTATTTTTTATTTGTTAAAAATATAATATTTTTTACTTATAAGAAAAACAAAATAAAAAAGTTTTTGTTATTTAATAATAATAATATTATTATTATAAATTAATATATTAGTATCATTATTATTATCATTATCATTCTTATTATTATTAAAAATTTTATATTTTATTATTATTTTTATATAATTCATATAATATTTTAATTATTTTAATATACATATGATAATATTTAATAATATGTAATAATATTTAGTAATATGTAATAATATTCAGTGATATATAATAATATTTTGCAATATATTATAATAAAATATAAAAAACTATAATATATATAATATAATAAAGAATTTTATCTTTTAAATAATTATCAATTAATTAATACAAAAATCTAAACTATTTCTTGTTTATTATTAATAAATTTTGTATATTAATTAATTTTAATAATTAAACTTATACTATAATACTTGTATTAATTGTATATTATTAAATATCAATTAATTTACCAAAAAAATATTAATACTATATTATTTTAGAACTATTTTATATTAAGTAAATATTATATTTATTAATAATAGTAAAAATCTATTCAATAAATATACTGTATAATAATTCTAAAATAAATAAATACAATAGAATCAAGTAACATTAAAAAGGAAATTATTAGATATTAATTAAATATTTATATTAGAATAAAATCTATTAAAAATCTAATTATAATATTATTTTAGGCTTTGTTATAAGAGAATATATAAATAATATGTGAAATTATATTAAATAAAAAAATTTATAAAATATAACTTAAAGTAAAAGAGAGAATATAAATATCTAAAGATAAGTAATATATATTCATTTGTTAATTAACTAAAATAAAATCAAAAATAATTATATTTTTTTAAAGTGATTTATAAATAAGTAGAATATAAGTTTTTTTATTAATTTAATTATATATTATTAATTTTACAATATAAATAAAAAATTAATTATAAATATTATAAAAAATATAACTTCACATAATATAGATAAAAGATTATAAATTAAATAATAATAATAATTTTACAATATAAATAAAAGTTTATAAATCAAATAATAATAATAATTTTACAATTAAGATAAAAAATTATAAAAAAATATTCAAAAAATTATTAAATAAAATATAAAGTAATTAAAAGTAAAACTATTTCTCAAAATTTATTTTCTAAAACTAAGATATATATTATATTTATACAAGTTATTTATTACTTAATCATTAAAATTTAGAACTAAATTTAATTAATAATAATATTACATGAAAAATACTTGTTTTCTTAATTATTATATTGTTGTATAATGAAATTTCACATTAATTATTAGAAGAATACATGTTTATATTTTAATTAGTTAAGATCTTTATATTTATATCTTGTATTATATTATTTATATTATTATTTATATCATTATTATTTGTATTACAATTATATTATTATTTATATTATTATTTATAAATATTATATAGATTATTTATTTAGATTATATTAGATAATTTATATTTATATTAGATTACAGAATAAGTAAATAAGTAAGTGATCGAGTAAGTAAATAAATAATTTTCTTGTAAATATCATTAATAGTTTTGATTTAACAATTTTATATAAAAAAAGTATATATTTTAGCTTAAAAAAAGTCAATCAAGTTCTAAATATTAATAACTTAAAAATAAACTTTTTTAATAATAATATCCTTTTGAAATTAACATATTTAGAATATTAAAATATTTCTTTTATTATTTCATTATTTAAAATTTTATATTAGTTTTATTATAATCTCTCATACATTTGTGATATTATATTAATAATCTTTTATATATTTGTAATATTATGTTAATAATCTCTTATATATTTGTAATGTCATATTTATAATTTGATCTTTCATATGTTTGTGATGTAATATTATTGAAATGATTTAATAAACTGAATTTATAATATTTTATTTGTCTATAAATTATCATTATAATTCTTATATTATATACATATTAAATTATAAGAAGATTTCTTAAGTCATTTTTTAGCTGACTAGTAATTTAATAAATATAAGTTATTATCTTTAGTTATTCATCTCATCTTTCCTATCTGACTTGAAATACATATTGAGCATGTAGAAAGATATAATATATTTGAAATCCAAGTAAAATAGTGACAATATATTATTCATTTTAATATTACATATAATTTATAATTAATATTAATCAAATTAAGTAATGTTAATTAATTAACATATGTTTTCTATATTAAGATTATTTAATATGAGATTAATAATTATAATATGAAAATAATATGAAATAATATGAATAAAATATGGATAGTATGAAATAAAGAGAATGTGATCTATGAATTACATGTAAATTAATTATCCAATGAAAATAAAGTATTATAAATCATGTGATATGTTAAATTCATATCACAACAATACTAATAATTCTTTTTGATTTTGAAATATTTAAATACTAATATAAAGAATTAAAGCATTATTTATTTTGTATTTTTCATTATTTTCTTTCTTTAGAACTTTACTTTTCTTATATTTTATTTTCTTTCTGAATTATAACAATTCCAATAAAAATTGATATAGAATCTAAACACATTCTTTTATTATAATTAAAAATTATTGCCGATCATGCGTTAGGTCACGTGTAGATAGCAGAAATCTATGAAATCTTTGGGGTTAGTACTAGATTATCTGGATTTTTTTACATCCACATAATGTCTTTTCTTCGACTTTCATCCTATGTACGTGCTGTTCCTTGCAGGCAGTTTTCGTCTACCTCTTTTCGAGCGTCATCTGTTTATGATGAAACTGTGAAAAATATGATTTTGACAAAAGATACGAGGGTGATCTGTCAAGGTTTTACTGGAAAGCAGGTTAATAAAAATTTATTAAATTTGATTTCTTTAAAAACTCGCAAAATCTTGCTTATATATAAATCAAATTTTTATCATTAGGGCACTTTTCATTCACAGCAAGCAATTGAATATGGTACCAAGGTTGTGGGTGGTGTTTCACCAGGAAAAGGTGGCAAAACACACTTAGGGTTGCCGGTATTCAATAGTGTCAAAGACGTTAGTTAATTTTGTATATATGTAATAAATATTTAATGAAGTTTAAATATTTTACCTATTAATTCTTATCGATTTTGTAGGCAGTTCGAGAAGTTGAACCAGACGCGAGTGTAATTTATGTTCCACCATCTTTCTGTAAAGCTGCAATAATAGAAGCCATTGAAGCCGAAGTTCCTCTAGTAGTTACAATTACTGAAGGAATTCCTCAGCAAGATATGGTCCAGGTAAAAAAATAATAGCTATATATCAATAAAGTTAATTCACGTAAATATTTATTGATTATATAATTGAATTTTAAAGGTTGTAAAAGTTTTAAAAACGCAAAATAAGACAAGACTTATTGGTCCTAATTGTCCAGGAATTATTGCCCCGGGAGCTTGCAAAATTGGTATAATGCCTGGTCATATTCATCAAACAGGAACAATTGGAATAGTGTCAAGGTCAGGTACTTTGACATATGAAGCTGTCAATCAAACTACAAATGTTAAGCTTGGACAAACTCTTTGTATCGGAATTGGAGGAGACCCCTTTAATGGGACAAATTTTATAGATTGCCTCAAAATTTTTCTGGATGATGACAATACTAAAGGTAATTCGTTAATTTTTAATTAATTTTCACAGTAAAATGTAATATAATTTTTTTTATTTTAGGAATTATATTAATTGGTGAGATTGGTGGAACAGCAGAAGAAGAAGCAGCGGAATATTTGAAACAATATAATTTAACTCGTAGTCAGCCAAAACCAGTCGTCACATTTATTGCGGGACTTACCGCTCCACCTGGCCGTCGTATGGGCCATGCAGGTGCTATTATTGCTGGTGGGAAAGGCGCCGCAACTGATAAGATTAAAGCATTGGAGAGTGCAGGAACAATCGTATCGAAAAGTCCTGCAAAACTTGGCGTTTTACTCCGAGAGGTAAAATATTAGTGAAATATTCTTACAAAACATAATTATACTAACTAAATTTAATTACTTTCATCCATAGGAAATGGTTCGGCTCAACTTGGCCTGAATTATATATACATGTTGTTGTATTAACTTACCGCTTTCCTATTTATTACAAGCTCATTATTAATTACTTGGAATAAAGAATTTCTCAATCCCATAGACAACAAGGTAAAGACCTTAACAACAGATTCCTGTAAATGTATATTAAAGAATAATTTATTTTGAATCGAAGTCGATCTTTCATCCTAAATTGGACTTTGAAGTTTATTTGTCTAAAAAGACAATGCAATCAATCTGAAAGGTGCATATCACTGTCCTCTCCAGATTCAATATTATCTTTCTCTATCTGCGATTGAGATGTTTTATTTTTTGATGAAATGTCCGCAGTTTTACTAACTGGAAGAGCTAGATTTCGGCTCTCTCTGAATGAAGGTTCGACGCCCGGAGGCAACGGTTCAGTATTATGATAGTGGAACATACTGTTACCATCAAAAAAAGTGTTCATTTGCGAAAGATTTTGAAGCTGTAGCAGAAAATTCCAATAACTTATAGATGTTGTGTCTACTTTCGAATATGTCTTTGAATTCAGTCCTGGATATTCAACTAGTGGCACGTTCTTGATTCTGCTACTATTTTGACATGAAAGAAAATTATTACGATCCTCGTCATTGTCCTCATCCAATTCTCCTTCTTCTTTATCACTCAACAAATTCTGTTCATCTTTTTTATCTGATGATAGTAAATTCTGTGAGGAAGATGCATTGTCTATTTTAGATTGATCAAAGGCAATTGCTATCTTAAATTCTTCATCTACCCCATAAACTTTCATTAATGATACATCCCATGAATCATTATATTTTCGTAAATTTTTTAATTCTTGTAAAGGATCTATATGATTTACAATATAAATGTTACTATTATTGTATTATTGATAATAACTTATTCATGAAAATAAAATTAACACGTTATTATTATAATAAGTTACCGACCTTGACCCGTTTCATATCCAAGATAGCCGGGAGGATAACCGAAAATACGCATATTACAATAATAAGGTGGTTCTTCGCCCGAATCTAATATTCCAAGAGCATTTTTTAAAGTATCAGATATTACTCCAGGGACAAAACTTTCAATAAGAGACTGCTTCTTAATTTCCAGATAATATCGAGTGAATTGAGTATTACTATTGTTATTATTATCACTTGGATTTTCTTCTTCGTACTTTTCGCGATTTATTTCTATTGTTTTAATGTCTTTTGGTAATGGGCACATCTGAAATTTATGATAGGTTGAGCCACAATTGAAGCATTTTTTCCTTTTCAATTAAGTAATACATACTTCGTTAGCCAACCCTTCAAAATAATGCAAATAAACAAAGAATAACTTACCCATTATCTGAATCTTTAGAGATATTATTAATCTCTGTTTTTGAGTTTACATCGAGTGGATCGACTTTTTTTACAGAGCCGATCACAATATCGGTTGCACGTTCATACTCTGGAATTTCACTTATTTCCTCTGGAAAAGTTCTTGTGGTTTGGTTTTTCTCAAGGATAAAGGGAGGTTTTATATTTTTTACTGATTTCTCACAAATTATCTCTGGCTCCTTTTTTCGCGGTAATATCGATTGGTAAGGTGAAAAACGTGAAGCATTGCTCGTAGATTTCGTCATTTTAAAAAAGTTTGGCAACATTGGGAGGTATTTAAAGAATTTACATATAACAGAATTTAGTTATACGTTAGTTATATGTTGGATATATGAACAAAAATTCACCTACACGTGACTCGCTTTAAATTAACGTTAAAGGCTTGGGCTAGGATTATGACTGGAGTTAAGATTGTAACTCGACTACCTAAAATAAAGCGAAAAACAAGGTGTTTGCTCTCGGTCCAGAAATCTTTTCCCAGAATACTATTCACATTCATTTTCCACTCCCAAGAAAGGGCCGAGTGCGGAAATTGCTCTAACTTCGGCCATTATTTCGGCTTTAACGGTATAACTTGCCTTCCCGACATTTTTTATTAGGGCTTCAAGCCAGATTTGACATCATTTGTGTCGGGTTTGTTTTACCAGCAAATTGTTCCCTGAAATTTGATCTTTTAGAAGGACATGACCAATTTCTCATAATTTTCAACGCTGGTAAAATTATATAATTATTCGTATATTATCTAAAGTAAAATGTTATGAATCATATAATTAGAAAAATGAAATCTTAATTTTAAATACAATCAAATCTCTCTATAATCACCCTTTTTCAAGAACCAGCTATAATAAAAGCATCTTACCGTAAGTATATTTATTATAAAATCATGTTATAATTATATTCATGAAAAAATTATTATTGGATTCAACAATTTGATTATAAAAAAATATATCAATTATCAAACTTTTCCATAGTTATATTTTTTTATAATTATTTTATTTTGCTTTTTCATTTATATATATAAGCATAATAAAAAAATATTTTTATAATTATATTTATATTTTTTTAATTTTGCTTTTTCAAGAATAATAATTATAAAGGAATTTAATTATATTACATGTGATTTATTATTTATTATTATTATTATAATTTAAGTAATTTTATAATTTTATAATTTCACTATTAATTTCATAATTTCTTAATGCTTTAAAAATATTTCAAATATTTCCAACATTTCATGAATATCATCTTTTACAACATTATTTAATTTAATTAAAATACTTTATTTATCATCTATATCACATTTATCATATTTATTATATATATTATTTTTATTATATTTATATTAAATATAATATTAATTAATGAAAAATATTTATTATAAATACAGCTAATCTTGTAACTGTAAAAAAGCAAGTTATAGTTAATTAGATCTAATACAACAAGTTATAATACAAAAATTAACTAAATAATAATTTTATATTAATTACTTGTATTTATTGTGCATTATTGAACAATATCAAATTGCTATAAAATATTAGTACTGTATTACTATAGAACTATTATATACTAAGTAAATATAATATTTATTAGTAATAGTAAGAGTTTATCTTGATTAAAAATAAGATCGCAATTGATTACAACTTGATCACAATTCTTTAATTGACTGTTATAATTAATCACAATTAAATCACAATTTTCTGATTAAATATCACAAGTCACAATTAATTAAGATACTATTTTTAATCTTGATGATAAAAGAAAACACATTGTATAACAATCCTGAAATATATTGATTATATTAAGATTGAGTAATTATAAAATTACTGTTAATAAGATATTGATTAAATATTTACATTATGATTATATTACAAAAAAATTTGATTATGACAGTATTACTTGAATCTATTCAACAAGGTAATTCTTGAAAGTTACAAAATATTATTTAATACTTTTAATAAGTAATTATTTTTATTGATTTAATTATTATTGTTATTTATATATTTTATCAACAGTTTTAAATTCTTGTTTAAATTAAAAAATAAATAAAGCAATTTAATCATTTACATTATTTGAAATATTTGAATTTCATTGTGTTAATCAGTTTGTTATAGTTACTTTTTTATTGGTAAGTAGTGTTCCTATGAACTGAACTGAACCGGACTTTTGCCCGAGTTCGAGTTCGGTTCGAAATTCGAACCGAACTCGAACCAGACTTTGGCTTGAGTTCAA